GTGGTGTGTGTACACGTTCGTTAAAAATTAATTGACTATCATATGCCTTTCGTATTTATATTTCCTAATGAAATAAAAGCAAACGATGTTCAGTCGGTGTATTCATTTTCCTAGAAAACAAGATCTAATCGAGACAGCTTATTATCGGCCAGCATCGGCTTCATAATGCAAGTGAATTTTGTTTCAAGCCCCAGGGCAGCGAGATGGTAACCGATGATAACCGATGATAACCGATGATAACCGATAAATAACCGCGCGGCGCTTTACGAGCGACTAACGGAGCCGTCCGCTTGACTCAGCATAATCTTCGCGACTCTACAATCTCGGCAATATTACAAAACAAGAATACCTCGTTGGTAAATATCACGGAGGCCGAGGGCGGCGGAGCGTATCGGCGTCTGAAATGAAAAATCTAAGATGTCGCACGTGCTGCTGCTACTCGTCGACAGCGAATTAATGCATAGTTGTGAGCTGCCAGTATTGAAGTATACGCTCGCCCTTGGGAAGGGCCATCGAGCTCGGCCTCTCGAACGTCAGCATTATGTCCTTGACCTTGTTCTTGAGCTCGTTGTCAAAGATGTGTCCGCCGGTGCGCTCGAGGGCCGAGGCCATATCGTACTCGATCGAGGGCAAGGGCTCGCGTATGAACCTCGCCGCGGTCGCGATACTCGGCAGTATGTGGTACTGGAGGCCCTTGATCTCCCAAAGGCTGCTGAGCAGGGCATTGCTCTGAAGGGGGTCGCGCTCTTCCATGAGGAACGGATCGTTGGTTCCCAGTTCCTCCTCGTTGCCCTGGGGGTGGTCGATAAGCCGCTTGAGTCCGGGATGCCGCAGCAGCAGGTTGCCGATGAACAGCAGGATTATGAGGATGTCCTCGGGTGGAGCGACCAAAGTTAGGCGGGAGAGTCGTTTCGCGAATGCAGCTACCAGTGCTTCCGGCAAATGCCTGTGGAATTAAAGGTCGAGCTTTGAGCAGAGGTCGACAATGATGGCGTTGGATCTCGTGGCCCTAATTACAGACCAAGGGGAGTGTCACCAAACGCCAAACGCCAAACGCCAAACGCCGAACGCGGATGCCGTTTTCTCGTATTTGGTGCGATCGGCCAATTTTTCCGTATTTGTAAATACGTGTTCTGGTTTAAGCGTGTAAGTGGTCCGCAATTCAGGTAAGAAATCGTTGGGTAAACTGCACGATGATTTAACTAAAATTTGGCGTTAAAATTTTCCCAAGCGCGTCTAATTATTATATTCAAAGTATTTCATTCTTTCTCTGTCTGTCTGTCTGTCTGTCTCTCTCTCTCTCTCTCTCTCTCTCTCTCTCTCTTTCGTATTTTGTTTTTCTTTGATTTTATGAAGCACAAGTGAAAGCAAGTACGTTCATTCTCATCGATCATTATAACAAAAGCTTCGACTAGTCGTAATTCATAATAATTATTCGTTATAATTTTATTCCTTACGAGCTTGATTTTAATCATAAATTATATTGAATCGCCATTTACTAAAGTCTTGGTTATATAGAAAATTTTACTCTTACTTTCGATCGTTCGATCCAATTGCGTTTTAATGCAATAACTATTTTATGTCGACTACTTTTAAAGTAGAATGATTGACGAATAGGCTTATCGAAGCATCGATATACAAGACAAGATACTTAATGGCTATTTTCGCTACTTTTAAAAGATTAAGATTTAACAATCTAGTAAGATTTTTTGAAATGCCCATATATCAAGACATCGTAATAATTAATAAACTTATCGATGCTTTCAAATTTACTTGATAATACTGTTAATACTCACGTTGAACTGAGGAATAAATCCGAGAGGTAGAATAGCCGTGCCTTGTATTTCGTGTGAAGTATTTCTGGCTCAAACATTGAATATAATTTTGTAAAAATATTTGGATAATCTAAATTATGTTTAGTGACTAATACAAAAACTCCTTGTAATGCAAGTAATCCTATTGGACCATCAATGTCGAGAGAGTCCATTAAAAAATCTGTCATTAATACTGGCTTTTCCAAGTGTGGCATTACTCTTTCTAAGAGTACAACAAGCAATTGCTTATGCAGTTGCGGTGTTAGTTCCCAATGCATTATACACGACCAAACTTTATTTAAAGCTTTTCTAGCGCTACTATAATCATATTTAAATCCTCCGGCAACTAAACAATAAAAACAATTATAAACAATCGCCTAATATATTATTATTATTATTATTATTATTATTATTATTATCATCATCATTATCATTGTCATTATTATGTAAAGATAAACAAACAAACCTTGCTGTGGCCCACAGAGCAGCTCCTGACTACCGTTTGTTCCATTTTCTACAAATTTTACATGTCCTTTTAGATAATAATAGGTAATTTGTGTGAAAGAGGTTTTATACTTTTAAATGTAAATTGTTCTTACGACTGTTGTTATCTTGAGGCAGTGGCAACTTGTGTACAAATTCTAATAAATTCCTAATATATACATTTTGTGGTTGTCTTTTTGGAGTAAGCGACGGAAGACACTTCCATGTAAAATAGAGGGCATCGGAGTAATTTGATATTTCTTGAAATCTTGCAATTAGAGTAAAATTTTCTTTTTCTGGCGACAAGAGTTTCATTATGATTGGCTTTAATCGATGCAATGGGAAATAATATTCTACGTTCTCGACTGGCTCCAGTGGCGATTTTCCTTCCGCTGCCATTAATTTAATGGCAGTTGTTAACGCTTGCATCTGTATGGCATTACGAGAATCTTCGATAGAATTCAATATTTTTACCCAAATTTCTTCGTAACAATTCCGCAACCAATTAGTATAGCTCATTTCAGCGGTGGGCTCTAAATAATAAAATTACACCGAATAAGAATAATTGTCTGGTAAGTAAAGTTTAAAAGTTTAATTTTTCATCCCCTTAAATTCCACAATATTTAAGATCACGAGTCCATAATTTACACAATAATGCGAAAAAGAGTAGACCGCGACATTACAGATGACTATTCTACCAGCAACGCGCACTATTTTCAACACAATACATACAAAATTATCAAATCCCTTCCCACCGACGCAGAACACTCGATAAAATAATCTCAAGAATTTTAATGCAGCACGCTCAATATAGATGCCATAACAGTAACGTTAAAATCTAGGACATCTTTGCAACAAACGACAAAAACTTCTTACTCCCTTACCGATATCCCCAGATTATTATCTTTAGACGACTCCGTCTCTTCCAAACATTTCACATTCGTTAATAAATAAGCCTATGGAAATGCTTGTAAAAGAAACTCCACATCGCATTAAAGAATAAAAAACAAAAAACATTAAAAAAAAAAAAAAAACAACAAAAAACAAAAAACAAAAATAAGGAAATAAGTCATTAAAAATTCATGCTGCAAAATTGGCCAATTTAGCATGACATAAGTTTCAGAAATTCAAAAAAGCTGTGGCTCAATTCGTGGACGGGTGCAAAGTAACCCGTCGATTGGCTCACCTGAAATTGTCAACGATATCGTACGCTCAACGTACATGTCTCCGCGCTTGAGAACTTCACCAAAAATTGTTTCTATAGTGAGGATACAGGCGAGTGTGTAGCTCTGCAATCAAAGGGACATGCGTGAAGGTAAATCGTGTACAACGTCAAAAGTTAACCTTAAAATCGAGAATGGCGATTCTCGAGGCTCTAGCTGCCCGGAATCCGCCCGTACAACAGCCTACCTCCCACATCCCGATGATGTCCACGAGATTGTTGGCGTGCTTGCGCGAGCTCAAGAACTCCTGGGCCCTTTGCCTTAGGATCTGCGACATTTTTTGGCCTGACATGGAAGTCGCAGCGCCGGGATCTCCTGCACTCGCCATGACCGCTGACAATTCGTCCTCCCCAGACTGTCCTGATGTCATCGACTATAGACTTGGACGGTGGCGCGGTGGTATCTCTCTATATTCTCCTATAGGCTCGACCTGTAATCCATACAAGGTTTGTTATTCCGGCACCGACTGCGCCCAAGCAGCGCGAGAAAATCTCAACGCCACTACCTTCTTCATCCAATACTTTCATTGGCACACGATTCCTCGGGGCGCCAAATTTTTTTCTTCTCTTTTTTTTCCCCGTCGATTTCACCGCGAGACTACGAAGACGCAGACGAAGACGAAGACGCGGATTAACATGAGCGAAGCTACTATCCTAGAGCCGCAGATCCGGCCAGACGATTAATTAGTTATTATTTTGTCCTGCAATTAAGATACTTTAATTTTGATTGGAAATTCATTGTCATAATGCATGAATGGCTTGTGCTTATCCACCCTGTCTCTTAATCATAGATAATTTAAATATAGATCGTGATTTCATTATGACATCGAAAACGAAATTGGACGGTGGAGAGTTGTGCATTTTTTATTCTATCCTGTGGTTGGATGGACTATAGATAAGGATGCAACTATAGAAGGAAAAAAAAAAGCTATTTAAAGAATGCTTTCTCTCTCTCTCTTTCATCTCTCTCTCTCTCTCTCTCTCTCTCTCTCTCTCTCTTTCATCTCTTTCTTTACTTTTCTCTTAAGGCAAAATTTTGAATGGAAAAATGTCTGGATAAATATGAACATGTATGAAGATATAAAAATGCGAATATTAATTAAATACGAAAGAAAGATAATAATTTACTCGAACAATGAAAGAGTGCTGTGAATTATGAATAATATGTAGGAAATCTTTTGAACTTTATAACCAACACATGACGCGCTTAGTACGTTAAAATATTGACAAACAATAGCGACAATATTATTTTAATAAAATAAAATATCATACCAATATGTGCATTTGAAATAAGTATTATTTGACAATGAAGTAGCTTGTTAAATAAAAGACGAGCGTTTCAATTTTTTTGTAGAAAGGTAATGGTCACGGTTTATCGATTAATTCGTAACATTTCTAATTAATAATGAACAATTCATTTTGCATATTCATATAATTTCAAATTCATCTCATTAATTAAAGCGAGAGAGAGTGAGTGAGAGAGTGAGTGTGTGAGGGGGAGGGGATTTATTGAATATTAATTATGTGGATACAGTAAATATAGATTGTTGAATAATATAGCGAGACAGGTGAATCAATCATTATGAATGTTATTCTTTCATTAATGTTTGGAAAATCAGATTATTAGCAATTTGATGCTATCATTTTCAAAGTGAAAACGATATTTCACGAGGTCAAATAACAATTTCACTCAATGTAAACGTAATGTATTTATATATTAATTCATATTTATATGAGTAAATTAAAATTTTATTATTATATTGTAATTATAATAATAATTACGATTCTATGGTCGAATCGTATGATACAAAATGTTCATGATTCTTTTATTTGAAACTGACGTACGGATTTTCAGTTAAATATACAATTATTGGAAACTTTCTACGTTAAAAATTACACGTTACACGTGGAAAGAATATTTTTTATACATATTGTTGCGTTTGCAAATAATTATAGATTTTGCAAAATTTACTGCCGCAAGGTTTTACGAATGATTGCATGAAAAATATTGCATCGAATTACGCTTGAAATAAATACGAAAATGTATTCGCTGTTGTACGAAGTATTGCACAAATGCGAAAACGGCCCCTAAAATATAAAAGGGACGGACGATGAAATATTTAAGTATACGTCGTTTAATGCCATACTTTCAATGTAAAAATTATTCAATTTTAATTCTATATAAAATGTAATGGCAATGTAATATGTAATGGCAAAAGAATTATTCACGAATTATTAAGAATCGAGAGAAAATAGTCATCTTACGAGATACAATTATGACGATAATTCGTTATGGAATTTATCTTTCACTGCCGTTGACTCGATGTAATCGAGGTGCCCCAATTATGTTTAACTGAAACTTTTATTTTCATTTAATACGTTACACACGTGGGTGAAAATGCAGACTATACACGAGCATTTATTGTTTTCATAAACTCGTATCTCGAGTGGCAGATAGGCGCAGCATATCTATTCCATTAAATATCATTTCCTCTCCATGACCATTTCATGGTTAGTCCTCTCGAATCACATTATTTTAACAGCATATTTGGAATCTTCGTATTATGATTTACTTTTGAACGCGATAAGATAAAATCGGCTAAATCCGGCCCCTTATTATATCGAGACATACGTACGCCCAATATTCAGAAGATATCCCGATTCCCTTTGTCATTCGTTTGACTACACATCTTAATAGCATAATGTTTAACTTATAATTCCATCTTCTTCCCCAATGTCAGACTTAATTATATATTTATATACATAATGATTATATCGATCAGAAATATAACGTATAGTATTTTTTTTTATTTATAACTGTAGAATTTTTATTAAATTACTTCACTTCGAGTGACGAACACTTTTACATACAATGTAATGCCTAAAAATTATATTATATATAATATATAATATATAAAATGAGTATATGGAAAGCAAATTATTATTAAGATACAGGTTTATTGTAGTATACTTATGCATAATATGGAATTAAAGCATTCATTATGAAAAGAAAATTGAGCGAGGAAAAATTTTTATTTAATTCTTTTAACTATATATGTATACGAATAAAATGTAATTGTAATAATTGAATAATTTTTTAATAATTTTTTATTATATCAATATTACATAGATATGAGCGTTAGCGACAATGTATTACATAAAATTAATCAATCAGATTTTTTTTTTTTTTTTTTTTTTTTTTTTTTTTTTTTTTTTCAA